AACTTGATCAGCTGTAAGTTGATTCATCCCTCTCATTTCCTTGCATACTGCTGTGCTCTTTTGAATAAAGAAAAGAATGATGTTACTTACACAGTCCTGGGATTACTACCCATCCCAGGGCACAGCCGTGGAAGCGTGTGGCACTCCTGAATGTCATGTTACTGGTGATGGAATTATGTGTCACCTGGTGTGATGAAGTGGGAAGTTCACAACACCACTTGTATAACATTCTTGCCAAAATATTTTGTCAAATTCTAATTATGGTGAAACAATCAAACAAATACAAACTGTGGGACATTCTACATAAAAGACAAATAAACATGACCAATAAAAAGCATGTGAGAGAACTGCTCTAAATTACAAGGCTCTAAAGATACACAACAAAGAAAATGTATGAAATTTAAATAATGGGCCAAACAATCCTATAAAAGCTCAATTTGGGACAGCTGGAGAAATTTAGAGATTCTATGTTAGATAATATAATTTTTATTTTATTTATTTATTTATTTATTTATTTATTAACTTATCTTTATTGATCAAAGTATTACAGGTGTCCCCCTTTTTTCCACCATTGACCCCCTCTGCCCTGCTCAAGTCCCCTCCCCAGGTCTTCACCACATTATTGTCTGTCCATGGACTATCCGTATTTAATATAATTGTATCAATGTTGTATTTCTTGAATGTGAGATGACATTGTGATGGTTTGGGAGAATGTCCTTTTGCTTAAGAGATTCATGCTAGTTGTTTGGGGCAAAATGTTATCTTATTTTCAAATGACTTAGAAGGCACACATATATATCTGAAGAGAGAACAAATGTAGAACATATTTATAACATTTGTACTATTTTTTCTAAATATTTGAAATACGTGAACTTTAAAAATTTGGAAGGTGGAGGAGAAGGATTCCACTTTCAGAATAGTATTCTCCACATAAAGTGTTCAGGGTACAATCCCAATGGCTTTCTGATTGGAAAGTGAGCTGGACGAGCTGGACAATTTTTAACACTTGATCCAGAAAAACAATATTTCTGAATAAGAGTCTTATTCTCCCAATTAGATGAATTCTCAGTGGCCCCCACCAGTGATCCATTTATTCATGCATAACTGACGCATTTCCTGAAAAGCTACAGGTCCAAACTCTGTGCTGTGGTCTGTCTATCATGGGATAGAACCTTATGAGTTTGACCTTTAGATTTGCATTTACTTTCCTCTGAAGGAGGGCCTAACTGGCAGTACTCGTTCAGTGGTCTATCTGAATAAATAATAGGTGAGCCCATAGAGTAACAAAACAGGTAAACACATAAACTAATGACATAAAATAAGAGGGACATGCACAGTGTTACAGCTGTGCCTGGTAGCACTGTGCAGAGGATCTGTTTGGCCAGGTAAAGAAGGGTTGGATGTGGGTTGGAGAGGGCATTCTAGGCAGCAGGCTTCCTGAGGAAATAAGAGGAAAAGAGGGTCCCATTTCATTTTGTTTGGCTGTTGAGGATGGTAGAGGTAAGCTGGAATAATCAGTTACATTTTAAGCATGCTGAGTTATCAGGGCTTGCAAGGTATCCTATTGCAAATGTGGAAGTAAAATACAACAGGAATACCAGACATTGCCAATTTATTCTGGAGGCTAAAACCACCCGCTATTGAGAATATCCGATGTAGACGGGTCTTGGCAGTCCTTAAAACCTGTTGGAGACTTCACAAAAATTCAAACCCCTCAGGAAATCCCTTTTTCCTCTATGAAAAAGATTTTTTATTCCTTTAATGGAAGTCTTGCTCCGCAAAACGAAACTTGTGGCCCTATGCCTAGTCCCCACCCACAAATTCTTAGAGCAGAATGAAAGATAATACATAACCCTAATTGTTTATAAACTTTTTAATCCACATATCTTATGCAGAATCATTATCTGTCAAAAGATTTCACAACTTTGTACGCTCTCTTTAGCAACGTAATAGATGAGATTTTAAGCCCCCGTAGCTGAAAACAGTAACAAGAATTAGATCAGAGGGGAAAAAACATCGGAGCACAGTTGATAGGAGCAATTCCTCCCTCCAGAGAAAAGGCCTGCTTTTCCGTCAAAGGGGGTGGAACAGAATCTGAAGAATTATCGCTACCAGTGTGGCATTACAAAATTATATGAAGCAATTTCTTTTCATTGCTTGGTTACAGATTGCTATAAAATCAGTAGATACGGAAGGAACAAGAATACTCTTTAAAAAAAAAAACAAAGAATGTTCGGGAAAATAACTTGGTGTAATGACAAAATAAAACAGTAAAGTCAGCAGAACCGGGTTCTTATTTTTTTTCTGTCCCCATGGCTGTAAATAAATTGCGGAGCTGAAAGAGACTTTGGACTTCGTGTACCCCAAACCTTCCTTTCCGGAGGAGAAAACTGTCCAAGAAGGCTTAGCAAAACCTAGCCAGAGACTAAGCCAAGCACATTCGCGAAGCTCTACTCCAACTTGGTTTATGATCTGTCTTCAATGTCTGCGTATACGAATTAAATGGTGGGGAAACAATCTGTAAAGAAAAATGAGTGTAGATGGTCACCTGTATTTCAAAAATCAAACAGGTTGATGTCAGTTGAGAGCTGCTCAGCAGCAGGAAAAAAACACCTGAGCGGCATTCTCCTCTGCAACTTCCCTCAAAGCTGCTGACCAGTCTCTCTAGGAAGGAGGCTCCAAGGAACCATGAAATGGCCTGAAGTCTCATTATGTGGACATGACACTAATGTGTGCCTGAGTCATGAAAGATTTCTCTGGTTTTCTCAATCTCTTTATGTTTACATTTGCTGAACTCGTACAAAAGTTAGACTGGCTGCTGGACCACCAAAGGACCCCAGTGACTTAATCTAGGATGTCTATTCTGTTATTTGTCACAGAGGAATAACTTTTTTTCCAAGCCTCCAAGGGGCCCTTTTCAAATGCTGGGAGCCCTTGGAAAGCCAAGCTGTTCATCCACATTGGGATGCGATCAATGCCACAGACCAGTTTATTGGATTTAATCGGCAAAGTGTCAAATAAATGTGGTATGCAAGTTGTGTAGGGGAGAAAGTCAGGAAAGTTCTGCAGAGGGAGTGTGAAGCCCACGGGAAAGATGCTACAGGTTGGGTTCCTCAAGAAACAAACTGGAAGACAGACATTAGCCTGAAAGAGGTTTATTAGGAAGGGCCTTGAGGCACCACATCTATAGCAGGAGGGTTTGGACAGAGAGAGGCGACTGCACTGACCCCACAGAAAACTCTGAGACTAGGATTATCCAGCAGTAGGTGGTCCTTTCCTGAGGCACGGGGTGCTCACGTGAATTCGTCATTGGGCACAGGCTACCCTGGGGAAGGGCTGTGACATTGACAAGGCAAGAGCATTTCCCAAGAGAACTGAGAGCTCAGGGCGGTGATCTAGCAGCACTCCCTACAGCGAGGGGGAAAGGGAAAAATAAATCCTTCAGGTCTAAAGGAGGGAGGGGTCTGCTCAGAGCATTAGAACCTTCACTGCAGGAGACAAACCTGAGTGGCATCATCTCCCACCCTAAGGTCAGTGTTGTTAAGCCTGATGGTAGAACAGAGGTAGAGAGAGCCAAGAGTTAGTAGTGTGTCTCTGAGTTCCTGGGAGGCCAAGACCCTGCCTTGGTCATCCTTACACCCCTAGAGCGCTCCATGCATGGAGGAATTCAAATCCTGGCTCCACCCTTTGGGTATTAACTGGATCCTAGCATCAGTTTTCACTGAGATATGTCTTCTAAGCATGTCCTCCCTCATGCCGATTTGCACTTAAACATCTGGCCACAGTGGTTAACATTAATTCCACATTCATATGTTTTATTTATCTCAGGTTTTATATTTGTTCCCATCTAGGCCTTAATTTGCTTTGTGTATCTACTGAGTTGAACCATAAGAAATTGCCAATAGTCGAACCCTTTTCATTGGCAGTTTCAATGCAAAATGTCAGTTTCATATGGTTCTACCAAGTATACGTCTTACCAACTAAGCTGTAAGTTTCTTGAGGGAAAGGCCTGTGCTTTCACAATCTCACATTTGGTCATGTGTTTTATTTATTTATAGAGTGCATTACCGATACTCCCTCCCACAGAGGGTTATCCCACACAGAGTCGCTCTGTGAAATAGGGTCTTGTCAGGATTGCAGATGAGAACCCTGACGCTCACAGAAAATGAGTGACTTGCCCAAGATCACACAAGCGTGATAGAATTGGGGGCCTGAGCCTACATCTCCAGATACCAAGTCACATATTTGCTCCCCAAAAGAATGCAGCCCTCGCAACATTGGTTTATAAATTGTTAACAACCACACTATCCCATTTGACTCGAATAAGGATTTGGTAAGATTTCCATGACTGATATTATAATTTACACACATTTGATAAATGGAGACTGTAGCTCATTCATTTAGTCATTTTTGCCTCTTTTCTTACATGCAGGCTTTTATGCCAAATTCTGGGGAACAGTGGATGAATATATCCTAATCTCTTCAGTAAGGAAACTCACTATTTAGTGCAGAAGGACACCTCGTTGACTACCTATTACAGTGTGATGCATGCTAAACAAATGCCAATACAATGTGACTGATGCTAGAGCTGAGGTGTATACAGAAGGCTGTGTGAAAGACAAGAGGAAATATTAATTTTCCCTGAGAGTATTGGGAAAATCTACAAGAGGGGGTGACTCTTGCCCTGTGCTTTGTAAAGATTCCCTCAAGGGGAAAGTAAAGGGAAACTCTTCAGGGAAAAGATGAAAGACGCACTGGTGTGATATACTACATAGTGTTCCAAGAAAAGGCTCCAGCATTGAATAACTTGCCCACGGTCTCATGGCTGGTCAGTAGCCAGGCTGGCATTGGATCCCAGCCCTTGCTGCCCAGCTAATGCTCTCCCTTTGCAGTGTCTTCTGCTTTATTAGATGTAGCATCTAATAAATGGGATGTACTATGATATGACACTTTCTCAATGCTCCCCTAATGCAGATTTCCTCTCCTTTGCTCTTTTGCAGTATTCCAGGATGTACATGTCATGATATTTGCTGGGTTTGGCTTCCTCATGACCTTCCTGAAGAAATATGGCTTCAGCAGTGTGGGCATCAATCTGCTGATCGCTGCTCTGGGCCTCCAGTGGGGCACTCTCATACAGGGCATCCTGCACAGCCATACACAGAAAATTAACATTGGAATCAAAAAGTGAGCCTCCCTTCCTTTTCCAACCATTGCGTTTTCAGAGCAATTGTTTCTCTGCTTGGTCTCTTGTCAGTCAGTCTATAACTAGTTGGCTAATTGTCTCCCTTAGGCAATAGAAGATGGTTGAGATCCAAGGATGCAAATCTATGCTTTGCTCCACTGAGCTGGATCATACGTGAATGTTTATGTCCTCTCTGGTCTGGCTTTAAGGGTATAAGAATTCCTCTTGCCTAAAATTATTATTCTTTCCATCTCAGCTACAGGGAGCACAAATCCACCGTTAGTCATTTTTCCTAAATTATTTTTGAAATGTAAACACTCTAGAAAATAAGTCATTTATCATATCAACAAAAACAAAGTAAGACCCAAAGTGAGACAGAGCATAGGTCAGTTAAAATAAAGACAGTTAAAGCAATGAAAGAGTGTATAATGAATGGAAGAGAGGAGGGGGTAGGAATCGGGTGAGTACAAAAGCAGGCCTGGGATAAGTGACTGATGGGGCCTGGCAGGGAGAAGGGCCTTGTACTCTGGGTAAGGTGATGCTATAGTTCATTACAACTTACAGTTTTATTTGGGGTTCGCATTATTCTTTAATGCATTTATTTTCTTTTCCCCTCAGCATGATAAATGCAGACTTCAGTACAGCCACGGTTCTGATTTCTTTTGGAGCTGTCCTGGGAAAAATAAGTCCACTCCAAATGCTGATGATGACAATCATAGAAATTACTGTCTTTGCTGTCAATGAACATCTGGTTGCTGAGATGTTTATGGTAAGTGTTAGAGGATTAATTTTTACCTAACTTTGGACATCAGTTTTGGTCACAACACATAATGGATGCCCACTCTATGCAGGGATAAACCCTGGCAAGAGTGATTCCACAGCAAATAGTAATAATAGGCCTCATTTATTCAAGTGCCTACTGTGAACGTTATCTCATTTCATCGTCACAACAATACTGTAAGGTAGGTGTGACTGTTAATATTTATACCAAAAAAAACCCCCCTCATGATCACAGATGCTAAATGACTTGCCAGATTCTGGATTCGAACTCAGATTTTTCTAACTCTGAAACTATTTTTATTACATTATATTTCCTATCAATGATCAATTTCTATTTCAACTACTAGGTGAATAGTCTTTCCTATGGCCCAGGCCAAATTTTTCTTCTCGATAAAAAGTATCATTGGATACCCCAAGAATCATAAATAGAATATTTCTGGGCACACTCCAATAGGTTATGTATGTTTCTATTGAACATTTAATCCAACAGCAATTATTTTAACAACTTCTAAGTGTCATGTGTTGGTGATGCAATGACAAACAAAATAGTTAAGGTCCCTATTACTATAAAATTTACAACCTAGTGGGGGAGACAGACATCAAACAATCCCCCCACCCACCTATAGGCATGCACACATGTGTACGTGCATATGCACACACAAATATTACTATAAATTATAATACATAGTATGAAAAATAAGTAGAAGGGGTTATGAGAAAATGTAACTGGAAGACCTCATTTAGATTGTGAAAGCAAGGAAGGGCTTTCTGGGGAAACGACAGGCTGGACCTGAAAGGTACATAGAAATTTATTGAGTATGAAAATCTTAAATAAATTTAATGAAGTTGTATCATTTTCCTACCTTAATAAGAACAGAGCAAAAATAGCTTGGGTTTGGTACTCTGAACTTTCCCTTTAGAGGCAGGAAATGCAGAAAACTGTATCAAACCCATGCAGTATCTTAAAAAAGGGACCTAAAATACATTTCTTCTAATGAATCTTGGACCTCAGGCTGGTTTTCATGTCATTACACAGAAGAGTGAGAAAGTGTGAGAAGGATCCAGGCTTTTTGAAGCTTCATATCTTTGAGTTGCAATTAAGTGAGCTTTATCTGTAATATCAATTAAATGCAAAAGCCATTCTTGTTTTGTATCCGGTGCAAGCATAATATTTTACACTATCCCTAACCTGGAGATGTAACCTAAACTGTATCGAGCGCCCACTAAGGGCCCAGCACTTTATGAGCATGGTCTCATTTATGCTAGCTAGCTAATATTTCCCCATTTTACAGAACCTGAGACTCAGAGAAGTATAGGAATTTGCCTAAAGTCACATCACAAGGAATTACCTGACCTAGGATTAAAAATCAGTTCTGTGTGGCTCCAAAGCCTATATTTTTTTCTATGTAACTATCTTGTTTTAGCCCCTTTTATCTGATGCATTCTTTCCCTCTCTTGATCTACTTTTTTTATTGCTAAAACCAAAAACACAGCCCTTTCACTGGCTTTCCTTCTGTAGGGAGATGCCGTTCCGTCTCTTTTACATGAACGTTTTATCCCCTCAGGCCACTGATATTGGAGCATCAATGACAATCCACGCCTTTGGGGCCTACTTTGGCTTGGCTGTCGCAGCCGTCCTATATCGACCAGGCCTTCGGAGGGGACATGACAACGAGGAGTCTGTGTACCACTCGGATTTGTTTGCAATGATTGGTGAGTAGGGATGAACCCGCTAGATCCTTGTCTGTTTGGTCAGGCACATGAGGAAAGGTTGACTCCAACACAGCTGTGAAGAGCTTCAAGAAGGAGCGTCCTCTGAATACTATTCTGTTGCTGCTGCTTTCCCCTGAACTCTTAGGCAGCTAAGCCTAAAAGCAGACATTGTCAGTGCCTTGTCGGTAAGGCAAACTGCCTCCCCTGGGTTGTCTTTCATGTTAAGAATGAATATGCCTTGTTGTGGTTTGCTGCAGGGACTCTTTTCCTATGGATATTTTGGCCCAGCTTTAATTCTGCCATCGCCGAAGCAGGAGACAAACAGTACAGGGCCATCGTAAACACCTACTTCTCTCTCGCTGCCTGCGTGCTCGCGGCCTACGCATTCTCCAGCCTCGTTGAGCACCGAGGCAAGCTCGATATGGTGAGTTTCTTGTTAACCCCTCTTAGTTCTTCTGGCTGGCTGGAGAATTAAATTGACATGAGACGGATTAACAGGAGAAAATAACTAAATTTAATTACGTATGTACACATAGGGACCCATAAGAATATGGGGCCTGAAGACAAATGGGACAGTTGAGGCTTATATGTCACCTTGAATAAAGGGGAAAAGGGGATAGATTTTTGGGACTTCAAAGTGGAAGAAAGCAATTCTTGTGGAGATGGAGAAGCAAATGTTTGGTAAACAAATAGGACACAGAAAGCCTTTTGATCCAAAGGGCCTTGCTAGGTTTCTCCCTGCCTATCACACCTGGTTCATATTAAAGCATAGCTAGCTATGATCATAGTTTCCTTCCTGGAGCAGATTCTCTGTCTAAGTTCTTTAGGTAGCTAGCAGGAAGGTTAAAGGTTCTTCCTCAACCTTTTGTTTCTTAAAATAATATCCCTCCAAAAAGGACGTACTGAGGTGAGTGGCAAACAGCTCCTCCTTTTCCCCCCATGGAAGTCTCCTTAAGTGACACTAATGGTTGCTCAGATGAGTAGGTTCTTTCTGCATCTCTGCTAAACTACCCGAACAGATCACAACACTGCAGACCACAAGGATTTTGAACATAACAGTATTCATTCCTTTCTTCATCAAATCTGCACTCTGGCAAATTAAAAGGTATTATCAAGAAACTTACAGGCTAGTAGGGAAAATAAGCATGCAAAAATCAAAGATCTAAGGCATTCTCCTTTGCTAATAAAGCAAACTGTCTCCAAGATCTTAGAAAATCTGCAACAGGACATGGTAATAGCAGAAAAAGAGAGTGGGGAATTAAAGTTGATTCTACTTTCCGATTTACATGTATTCCTCTCAAAGAAATAGCAATTAAATGCAAGGTGGGATCCTGAATAAAACTCTGAAAACAAAAAAGACATTAGTGGGAAAACTAGTGAAATTCAAATAAGCTCTTTAAGAGTATTATATCAGTTTTCTAGGGCTATGGTTATATAAGAGGTTAATGTGACAGGATAGAAAGAAGCTGGGAAAATTCCTGGGCAAGTGTAATACAGAAACTGAGGCAAGAAAATTAAACAAGGCCAAACAGTTTGGGCAGCTTGCAGCCTGCTTGCGAACTGCAAGGCCTTATCTTCCCCAACCAAGGACACCTGAGAACAAATGGTTAATACGTCTCCTCCCTAACCGGAGAACACTTAGCTTCAGTCACCCTGGGAACTGCACCGGCAGGAGTCGGAAAGCAGGAAGGAAAAAGGGGAGTTTTATCTCACCCACTGAACAAAGAAGTCAGCAGTCTTGGGACTTGCCAAGATAAAATCGCCAGATGTTCTCATAAATTCCGTGAAAGCCACAACAAAAAAGGGGACCTTGGAATCTAGCCTGTTCCCAAGATATCCAGCATAGGAACCTTGAAGCCTGTAGACAGAAGGGTATAAAACCCCTTGAATCCCCACAAGGCGTGCATTCAAACCAGTTGGGTGCCCGCTTGTGCTTTATGCCAAGTGTATTTTTAATAAATTTGCCTGCTTTGCTACAACACTGTCCTTACGAGACTAACAAGAACCGAGGAGGGGACAGCCCTCTCCCTCCTACTCAGGGGGCCGTTGGATAACATCTTTTCTGGTGCCCATAACATTAACATTGGGTGAAACGGGGTGAGGGATATATGGAAACTCTCTGCAGTGTTTTTGCAACTTTTACATAATCTAAAATTATTTCAAAATAACACATTTTTTTAAATGCCCCAGGTCAGTCCTTTGCGTTTCTTGCCCATGAGCGAGAGAAACGGCGGCGAAGGCGTAGTCCTCAGAGCAGCCACTCCTCTTTTCTAACCTGAGAAACAGGATATTTTCACTTTATCAAGTCTAGCTAAGGACATGTATTTCAGTTCTCTACAAATTGCTTCATGAAGGAAAATTGAAAGAAAAAAACACACACAACTGGTTCTCTTTTAAAAGTACCGATGGCCTCTCCACCTCTGCCAGAGCCACCAGAATACGGTTTTCCTGAGGAGTTCTGGTGACCGGAAATCCGTGACTCTCCCCATCCTTGAAAGTTCCCAGTGCAGTGACCTTGTGAGAGCTGTTGTCCACCGTGTGCAATGTGCGCATTTCCATGTCTACGTGCGCTCTTTGGGCACTGGGACAGCATGGACTCCACGGAGCACACAGCAGCCGCGGGCCCCTGCTGGCCCCTGACGCGCGCCGATGTGTTTGTTCCCAAGCAGCGTCCACAGGCCAAACGCTGCTAGAAAAGTCGCTCTACTCCNCCAAGCAGCATCCACAGGCCAAACGCTGCTAGAAAAGTCGCTCTACTCCCCTCGGTCCGCTACAGCTCCTTTTATTTCCTCACGTCCCTCCCCACGCTGGGCCCCCTGCCTGATCACTCGCACACGGCCAAGAGACCCTGGCAGGGAAGACGCATGTCAATGCTTGGAAGAAAGGCTTTCTGTCACTATAAAGAACACTCTTTTTCAAAATAATTAGTAGCCTTTTCAGCTTAAGAATGTGCCACAAAAAGTCGATTCCTTCCGTCCTGAGCTTTGCCTGTCCAGCTGGCTTCACTCACATGTCCGTGCTCCGCACAGGTACATATTCAGAACGCGACCCTCGCTGGGGGAGTTGCCGTGGGCACCTGTGCAGACATGGCCATTCACCCCTACATGTCCATGGTCATTGGAAGCCTTGCAGGAATCATCTCCGTGCTTGGATTCAAGTTTCTGACTGTAAGTATGACAGGTGCCGAGTCAAACCTTGAATCTGCACCGTCATCTTCTCACATCCCATTGGCAGAGAAAAGCCATGAAAAGCCCTTTCATAGGCACCTCTTCTTGTTTGGGGCTCATTTGCCTTCCTGTCGAAGGTGCCATTCACATCTCAGTGTCCAATGCTTCTGCTCTTCCCTGGCCTTTTGGGTATCCGGGGAGAATTTGGTATCAGTTATTTAAAACTTAGTATAATTGACTGTTCAATAGTGTGTTCCTTTCCTCGAGGCAATTCCATTAAAGTTTTTGTTGTTGATGATGTTTGTTTGTTTTGTATAAAATTAAAAACTGCGCTCTTTTAAGGGCATTTAGGATAACATCAGTAGTTCAGGAGTAGGACTTGAAGTCACTTGCCTTTGAATCCATCTACGAAACACTGAAAAGAACAGCTTTGCCGTCAATGTATTTGGATTCTTTGACATGAGTGAGATTTAGATATGGGTGGAGAAGTGGGCTCTAGATAAAATGTGCCCTGCGTCATCTTTTACTTCAATTATAGAGTCCTGTACAAAATAACAAACCTTACTGTGTTTATCATTTCAGCCACTTTTTGCTACTAAGCTGAGGATCCAAGATACCTGTGGGGTCCATAACCTGCATGGCTTACCTGGTATGCTAGGAGGCCTGGCAGGCATTGCGGCGGTGGCCTTGGGAGCATCTGACGTGTGAGTGAGATAATGGTTTTCCTGCTCATACCCCCCCC